ATATAGTTAGCTGGCCTGATATATTAACAAATGAAGGAGATAAGATCAAAACTGGACTTTGGTAGATTTTTAGAGGCAATATAATCTTTTGATAATCTCTCAAAGTTGTATTTCTTATACAATTGAACAGTAATTGTTAATAGATTCTCATTGTCTTTTAAAGAAAATTGAATAATAGATAAGTTTTTTTTAAATACTTTATTGTGTTTCTTTATGGATAACAGAGACAGCTTGAATACTTAAAACCAGTTCTCTGGGATAGTATAGAATTTATATCTCTCATACAATTTATATATAATTGATAAGAAGTTATTTGAGCAATAATTAATAAAGTCTTTGATTTCTAAAGTCTTATTTACATCAGTGATCTTGATAGAAAGCTTTTCTTTATTTGTTTATAAAATAAATGGATCAATTCACTGAAGACCTAGAGGCAGATTAAATTTGGAATCTTTTTATAAATACTTGATAAGAGTTTCTGCATCTTTTTTGATTCTTGCTGGAATTGTTATATCAAGTTCATCCAATAACAGATTAAATAAGTAAAAAAGTGATCTTTTGAATTTGTAATGGTCTAGTGGTAAGGTTTTGAGTCTGTACTTTATTCTTAGAATTTTGATGAGTTTTCTTATATTTATTATAATTGGATTATGTGGAAAATAAATTGCTTAGTGTTTGGGAAATAGTTTATACTGTATGATGCTAGAAGTGGAATTTTGGAAAAAGGCAAGTTAAAAAAGATTTTATAGAAATTTTGTAAAACTTGACAAGTTCTTTAATTCTCATAAAGAATTCCTTAAGATCTTTCTTTTTTGTAATAGGAAAGAGATGTTTTATTTTCTCATTAATCTTTTGACTCCTCAAGTAGAGGGATAAAATTAAAAAAATAGAGTTTAATACTTGATCAAATTTGTAATATGTATGCAGTACTGATATTATCACAGAGAGAAGTAATTTTCTTTTACTAAAAGTGGACATGATAATTTAATAATTATATTTAAAGAAATGTTTTCTGATTTGTTTAATAAGATTGAAAGTAATTCATATAATATTTTTTTAATTAGATTCAAGAGTTTTATATAGTTAATTAGTATATTACTATCTTTTATAAAGTAATTGTATTCAAATTTGAGTATTTGAACAATTTTGAAATATTTAAACTTGCTTAAGTTTGTAAATATTAAACATGCTACAAAAAGAGATAAGTTAAGAATCTATCTGATTTTTTTTTTAATTCTTTTACTAATGTAGCCTATGTTATTATTTTTTTTATAATTATTATAGGGCTTTAACTTTTAAGGCTTTGTATTTTTTTTAATGATTTCCTTTAAATAATTTATTTTTTGTGAATAATATAAAGAAGGTTTTTTTCTCAAAAGGATTTTTGTAAATATTGTAAAGTAAGACTCTTATAAAACTGATCCCTTTGGATGGATTTGATTTTTATAAATAGATCTGCAATATTTTGAGTATTTTTCTAATATAAGAATAGCTAGAAAATTAGATCAATAATTATATCATGTTTATTAACAAAGGATTTATTGATGTTGATTGTTTATAGAACAAGAGGTTATTTATAAAATAGTTAAAAGTTGGATCACTTTTTAGATGAATTTCAACAATTTTATTTTTTTATTTTTATTTTTATTTTTAGTAGAATGGCATTAGATGCACTGGTTTTTATTGAACAATTATCAATTTATACACATATACATCAAACATCCTCTATTGTATTACAATAGCTAAATGCTAGCCTATTTACTTTTTATTGCTCCAGCGATACTAACGCCACTCTTGAAGTGGGTTTATGCATTTTTGGGGTGACCTATCTAGGGGATGGAAATCTTACCACTAGTTTTAAACCATCCAATCTACTGGTCCAATTTTTGTATTAGGGCAGTGAATACTGCTAACTATTTCCTAAGGTTACTTATCACATCACACTTTTTCACTCACACAGCTCATGCTTTAACAAGAACTTCCGCCGGGTGTGTTCTCTAGTAAATTGCTCCAGTTTTGACTGCTGGTTGGCTTTTAACTACCAAATCCAGGGGCTCTTATGGCCAAGTGGGGCGCAACTCCTTAACGGATTGTCTCTTCCAGGTGCAGCTATCACCCTTTATCAAGACTATGTTAATCTCCTGGTAAACACTCCATGCAGATCCAGTTGGCTTAAGCTGCCAAATCTAGGGGTATAAATGTCAAGCAAGGTGCAACTCCTCACAGAGCCGACGATCAGCATGCCTTACAAGAGTGGTGATGATATAGTGATCTTCTTCAAAGCTTTCTTATTTGCTAGCCAGCAGGGTTTTATAGGAAGGGGAGGAGACTGGCAGACTGGGATTGGTTAAGATGAAGTACAGTCCAATCTGTATTTCCAAATATGTGGATGGTTTTTTATGGCTCCTTTTATAAATGATCATTGTAGCACCATCTGGATGATTGTCATGCCACTACGCCTTTAATGGGAAGATCACAATCTCAACACCTGCTGGATCAGCATGTGAAATGGCTTCTTATGAGAAACAACACATAATTGGTTATGGTGCCAGATACTATATTAAGTCTATTCAACCGCCTTCACCTGGGGTTGAACCGGTATCTTGTAATCTGACCTGTGAAGCACTAACTACTGTGCTAAGGACCCACAGGTCTTACAATTTTATTTTTTTTTTTTATGCTTGAAGATATTATTGTATATAAAATTTCATTTGAGTTTTCTATAAAATATAAACTAGAGAAGTTTACAAAATCTTCAATTAAATTAGGTATCATAAACTATTCTGATAATTCTTTTATATTATTTTCATATTTCTTGACTTCTTTTAAATTTTAATGGGATATGTGGCTTATAGTTATATTATTTTATAGGGTAGCTAGGTCCTTTTGAACTTGGTGATTATATCTATCAAGAAGCTGATGTTTTCTATAAAAGATAATTGATCCAATGATATCAATAATATATTATTATTAGAGCAGAAACTGGTGGGTCTAATTCTGCTTTCTGATTTGTCATAATATTTATCTGTGGTAACTGCATTATAGGAATTATCTATTTGCATTATATTATCTGTATTATAGGTATTATTGATGTTTATTGTTATAGTACTAATAATATGTATTGTGTCTATATTATCTAAGGTTGCAAAGGATATATACATGTTGCTGCTGGCTTTATCTAAATTTGAATTGCTTGTATTTTGTTGATCAATGGATAGGGATAAGCTGCTTGAGATTTTTTGGAAAATTTGAGATGTTGATTTTTTTTTTTAAGATTTGTATAGAAATATTGTTCTTGATTTCTGGTTTTTTATTTTGAACTAGTGTGTTGAATAGTAGGTAAGTGGGTTTATTTTGTAATTTCTCAAGTGTAAATTTGACTCTATTGTTAATTATATTGACTTGGTTCAGGAGAAATAAAAAATATAGTTGAGATTGCTATTTTTACCTCCCTTGCAATGGTTTCCCTTATGCTTTGGACAAGATTATTTCTTTCTTAATAGAGAAAAAAGTCATTGAGATTGTTTTGGATATTGCTTTTTATATTATTAATGAAGAGTAAAGCTATTGTATATTGATGTGAGAAGAAGTTGAAGTTAATTGCTACTTGTTTGAAATAAATAAAGATAATGTTCACTTGTAAAGAGTTATCATTGTTGCTTGAGTTTTGTAAAAGAATAATTCAGAATTTGGAAAAGTCAGTTAAAAGGAAAATGGATACATGTTTTGTTAGTTCAGTAATTTGGATGTTGTTCAAGTTGCTTTTCTAATAAACTATAGAAAAAAAGATGGTTATTTGGGTTGGCTATTATAATGTCAAAGAGGATATAAAATGTGTTTGAAGATTTGCCCTTGGGAGTTGGGCTCCCAAAAGTATTTTCTGTTTTTTTTTTCTTCTTAAAATTTTGTCTGTTACTATATAAGGAAATTTTTTAAGAAAAAACGATTTATAAGAAAGAGTTTTTTTTAATTTTAATTAATTATTATTATAATAAAAAATTTTATTTTTTAAAAAAATTCTTAAATTATTAAAATCTATAACAAATTCAAAAACATTTCAAATTTAGAAATCAATATTTTAATATATTTTTTTATTAGCTAGCTATTATAAATACAATTGCAAAATGACTAAAAAATATATTATTGCAAGCAGATCTTAGTATCAAGACTAAGATAACAAACTTTTCTGACACAAATTATGCCAGAGCTAACATATCGACTATTCTCGCTCTTGAAAATTAATCAAGTATACAGTATATTAAAATTTTTATCAACAGGGAACTAAAAGAACGTTGAAAAGGCACAAAACATTATCCTGTATTTTGAATCAAGCACAATCATCGCAATAGGATGATATTCCATATCGCAGTTAGTTATGTACCGTATATTTCAATTACATGTGATGATCATAAATGAATATGTCAACACTTCTTCTTATTCATTAATATACAGTATATCTTAGCTTTGCTTTTATGGCGCAACTTTGATAAACCAACAAACACTGTCAACTAAGCAAATTTTTTGTTATATGATGTATGGATACTGGAGACTGAAAATAATAAAATGGTCAAACTACGCTACACGTGGTATTCGATATCCCTATTGATTGAAATAAATTGTATCTACAGTTTTATGAATTACAAGCAAACAAGAAAAATAAAATTCCATTATACAGTAATCAATAAAGTATGAGGAAGGCCTCACTTAGCATTAAAAAAAAAAAGAAAATTATTATATTAATAAATAAAAAATCAATAGAATTTTTTTTAAAATTTTTTATATTTTTAATATAAACTATATAGAAATTGCATTTGCGCTATATGACACTTGTCTAATTTTTTCTAACCCTACTGCACTGAAAAGTGTTCTAATTTTTCTAGCTTTGAGAATTTTATGTCGTAAATTCACATCTGTTATTTCTGGTAGAAGCTGTTTAATTTCGTGATACACTAAGTTGGTTGCTTTTTTCTTACCAACTTTGTTACTAACAGAAACTCCATCTATTCTTCTGTCATATTTTCCAGCAAAGTGATACCAATGTAAAATTGTATCTTGACCAGATCGAATCGCTTTTCGAAATATGCATACTATGGTCTGCACTGAAACTGGGGATGAATCATTGATAGAAATGTCAATATCTTGTATTGAGTTTTCATCTATTGTAGCTGAATTATTACCTCCAGTAGTCACGGCAATCTGTTGCTGTAATTCTTTTTCTACAATTAGATTTGTTAATGGTTTATCAGGCGAATTAATAAGTTCGATATTTTGTTCAGAGATTTTAACACTAGACATATCGGAAATTTGATCAGAAGATTTTTCGTGATTTTAGTAACGGAAATTCTTGGCATTTTTCGTGATTTTTAGTATCTGAAATTTCTTGGAATTTTTCTTTTCCGCTTACATGATTTTGCTCGGGAGAAATAGAAGTATCTGAAATTAAGTTTGGGGATTGGTCTTCAGCTGATTCACGTTGAAGCTTCTTCTCCCTATTCGTTGCTTTATCTCGCTACTGACTCTTTCCTTACTTTTCAAATCCAGAAATTCATCGATCTCGTTATTTTCCGACGATTTAGGCTCGGATGAGTATGTATGAATATTGGAAGAAGTGCTTCGTGGAGAATAGAATCTTCTAATACGTGTACGCCATCATTTTGTGTCAGCTTTTGTTCCAATTTCGTGACTCTGTCTCTTAGCTCAGCATTTTCAGAAATGAGATTACTGGTTCCTGCTTTGTTTTTCTTTTCTAGCTCCTCGAATCTGGTCTTGAGCTCAGCATTTGCTTCTATAACTTGTTTCAATTTTGTATTCTCGGCTTTGATATCGGTATTCTCCTTTCTAAGCTCAGCAATCGTGGCAATGAGTTGAGAATTTTATTCTTGCAACGAATTGACTTTAAACTGTGTATTTGCCATTGTTTTATACAAGATACAGATATGTTCAAAAGTTATTAAAAATCCGCGAACTACGATTTATTCTTTTGTTCGAAGAAAATATACAAGTTATTCACAAGAAGACATAAGAAAAAAAAAGAAACTTATAATTTTTCTTACAGATGCATTGAAAAACCTGTATAGCACCCTTGTCTATGGCTGAATCCAAACAGTCTTTCATAAAGATACCAACGCGAAGTAGATCATTGCACTTCTTATATTCATTGTTTTTTTCTGAAGGTGGCTGACTTCACCCACGAATATACAGTAACACCATTCTTCTGTAGCTGATGTATAATAGATACTGTAAAGTCCGGTTGTTTGCTTCTTCTTTGTAGTTTTCTTGATTTGCTTTCATAAAGACCCGTATTAGGCCACTCAACAATGTGTTTGTCTGGATTGTGCAACATTTCCTTCATGATATAGTCTAGATGATTTGTAATCAATGTTATCTCACTGGGGTTCATTTTTAATCTTCGTCGTGGGTAACGATTTCAAACACCCTAAGAATACGATGCCCAAGTTCTCCTTTAAAATTCGATCATTTGAAAGTTCTGACCACAGCCAATCTACAGCACACATGTGACTCTTTTATTGCTTTCTTGGTCGCTATTCTAAACTTTGATCGCACTCAGAATCTAATTATATTTGCTGTAACGGGATTGTTTTTTGGTGGATTTCATCAAGTAAAGGAGAACTAAATATGTCAATCATCGTATTTGAGTGAGATCCTGGAATAAGAAGAAGAGCGATGACAGTGACAATATTTCATGGACGTTTGATTCAACAAGTAAACCACCAGTCTTTGTGATCTTTAACGACTCATTTTGATACTGCCGGAATAACTGAGACACATTAGTATCTCCTATTTTAAGATCATTTGCTGGGTCCCACTCTTAGAAGTATAGTTCGTCTACATCATCAATAATTATGCCACCATCCTCATCCTCATACTCGATGAACGGATTGTCAATGCCCTCCTTGTCTTTATCCTCGACCTCCTCTTTGTCCTTATCCTCAATTAACGGATTATCCAATGGCAATGAATGCAATTTTGGACTGGTGACAGTGTAGTTTCTCTGTCTGGATGTGGTTTTTTTATCATACGTTCCTCATTATAATTGATGTTTCGTCTTTTCTCAAAAAATAATTACTTTGGTTGGATACTGACTCGTCCTAGATGATAAAGGAATTCATAAATGCTGATGTGCTCCAAAGTTAACACAAAGGCTTAACATAAACTCGGAGAGCACGAATAAAAATTGTTCTTACTATTTGAGGCGGTTCTGTCGACTTTTCCGCATAATTCGATGATAGTTTCAGTGTATTGAAATCGCCAGACTTCTTTAAAAGTTTACATCCATTCCTATCGAAAGACCTTTCGAGATCCCTCTATAAATGATAGATTAATATTTGCAGTAGATTGATGAACCTGTATAATGCAAAAGCAATAAATCATTTACCTCATCAAACTTCTGGTCTAAACTCTCAAAAAATTCAACAATATCTCTTCTTTTGAAAGTCTCTTTGACGTTACTATATAATTTTTGGCTTTTTTCTTCATCCAAATACGTGTAGTAACGAGCTCACCAACTCTCAAAAATGCTCTCGTGATCGCGTCTAAGATATCTTTTTTTACTATCGGAGGTAAATTGTATACGATCTTTCAGATATTCAAGACAGCTCAAAACACTCCAGTCGTTAGGATCAGAGTCGCTTATATAGCCGGAAATATAATGATCAAAATTAATTTCTAAATGAGTGATATATATGAAAGATAATTGTAATGAGTGATATATATGAAAGATAATTGTAATAAAAGTAGGAATTATTGTAATTGCTACAATATAGTATATTGAAAAAGGAGGCCGGGAGTGGACACTAAAAGCCAATACAAGCATGTAACGAGTCATAGTGGTTATCCCACAACATTCTAATTCAAGCATCGGTCGCAGGGCTTAACCTAACCTAACGAGCGTAGAATACTAGTATTGTTCGGTATACTGGATACGAGGTCGGGAGTGGACACTAAAAGCCGTTACAAGCAATGTGACGAGTCATAGTGGTTATCCCACAACGCTCTAATCCAAGCATCGGTCGCAGGGCTGAACCTAACCTAACGAGCGTAGGATACCGCAAATGTACCTTTCTATTGTGGTAATATGAAAAATTACTTAACTTGAATAAGATATCTTCCTAGGGTGAAATAAACGCCAAAAATTTAAAAAAAAAAGCGATCGAATTCGCGATCACATGATGTTACCCAAAAAATTAGAGTCAGATTTACCCATGAATAAATGCTTTATTTTTATTGGAAGTGTCACAGTAAAAAGTTACATAAATCACATGGAACGAAAAACTTTATTATTTATACACCCTAAAGGGTCATCACAGAACATCTGAGTGTAAGGTGGGAAAACTATCCACCCATTATTTTTTGATAATTTTTTCTTGCACGCGTCGCTTCTTGCTTTCGGGTTCATCGCATGCGGAAACCCTATCTTTCAATAATCCTACAACTATACTAATACCTGCTTTATATCTTCCTTTAAATTTTCCTGATTCCCAAGTGCCTTTTTCGTAAGATTTATTTGATATTCGGTTTTGCTAGTACAAAAAATACCTTCGGAAGTAAATATAATGCCAATCTACGCCTAAAAATAAATCCGATAATTAACATAAAAAATCCGGCATGTATCTGCATACAATAGAAAAAATTTCACATACCTGTTGACACAATTCCATATAGATAGTCTTAATCCTCGGCCTTAAAAGCTTCATCCGCAGTTCGTTTCTTCTTGTTCATGTGGAAGGAACTCTCGAGTTGTTTTATATTTTGGAGATAATCAATCTTAACATTTCGTGGCTTACCCTCAGCGATGCACAAAAGATCCTCCATCCCTGTTATAGCGTAATCAACTCTACCAGACGCTTCTTCACCCGAAATATCCCTCTGCAATTCTATATTGATTTCTTATCCGTTAACCTCCGTATGATAGCGATAGATGCGTATAATATAGATGAAATAAATTCACATCGGGTCGCCTCGTTGGCCTCTATCATCGATTTTACATTCGTTAACCGCAGTATTATTTCATTCATACTGTTATCGGTATATGGCGAGTCTGTCGCTAATCCAAAGCTAAGGCTCGCGTAACGATAGTGATAGGGGTCGGGGATCGCTTGCTTAACCAAAGGTACGTATTAATAAACTTCCTTATTCCTGTATTGCCGAGCTAATCCTCTTCCACAATTCCTTATGTGCCTTTAGGATCCTTCAACGGCCAATAACTCTCTTAAGGTAAGTATATTAATTATTATATTTCAGGTACAAATGGTATTTATTTAATAAGCGATATTATTGTATCCTATTTTAAGAGTATTCTCTCATATCTATCTCTCGTATTTTCTAGCTGATTCTAACTATATTTATACTCATTGCGACGCGTCTGCTGATCTACCGTCGCGTCTTGCAAATTAAGCTTTTTGGCTATTTAGACTTCTCAGTGTAGGATCCGATGCATCACGTCGAGTCACATGACTATAGGCGATCTGGATCGATCTACTCATTTTTCCCTGCTAACAATACAATATTCGAGGGTTTTATTGTTATCATCTATTTCCTCGAATACTGTACAATGGAAAAAATAAATCATAAATTTTGCCAAGAAATTTCAGCGAACTTGGTTCGCCCAAATAATGCCAAGAAAAAATATCACATACCTGGATTGAATTGTTTGATGCTCGTAATATCCTCATCATTGACTTTGTGTTTGCGGAGTACATCTTTTAATTCGTCCAGAGTTTTATATGATGAGAAGCTTCGTAGTTTTTGTTCTGATATCTCATCGATAAAATCCACAAGTTTTTTTTCTGGACCAGATTTTAATCCATAACTGCGAAACTCCTTTTTAGATGTGTTAAGAAAGTCACGGCCAGAAATTCTCTCATTGCGAAATATTTTGAAATCCGCCTCAATAAGTTTTAGATCTCGTCTTTGCCTCCTGTTTAAGCACACTACAATCTCAAACATAATTACGAATTTGATTAGGGAATGGTCTTACTTCACATACAAGATTACCTTGCTTTTCGAATTTTTTTGGCTTCTAGATCAGCCACACTGACACTCCTCTTTATTAAATAGTAGGAGTTGGATACGGCAAATATTCAGATATGACGAATCGGTTTCTCACGACATATTCAATGAGCTTTTAGGTCCACTGGGAGACTAATGTTATTACATGTGTCTATTTCGCTAAAGAATATCCAGGTCCCCTCTTAGCATTTTACTGGATTTCGGTTATGAATTGCGAAATGTCATTCTCCTTAATACCCGCATGAATATAGAGGACAAAAAACTGAATCACAATCACGCAGACTAGAAACCGGATCAGACTTGTCAAAATCAGAATTGAGATGGTAATATTTCTCAAATAAATATAGTATTATATAACCATCATTACCTTTTTTTATCTGGCCTCCCACAAATAATAACAGGTATATTCACCTGCACTCTCAACAAAATAAATATCATATAAACACCGAGTTTTGATAAACGAATGTTAAGGTCAATTTGTATGTCTCTCGAGTTCCTTTTGTCCGTGGTTTGCAAGATAATCCATCAAATATTTGGTAGCCACTAATATATTAGAATATCCATAGGCTTTATAATGACTAAAGAAATAATTGTATTTAAAAATCTCACGGGAAAACAACTCAAAAGAAAAAAAGAATATAAGACGAACCTCTTCTCTTTTCTTTGTTACTTTTCTTTGCTTCTATAGCCTCCTATGCTTTTTCTTTTTTGCTTGCAAATCTTTTATGGTGTCCCTTTTTTGCTCTGGTACCAGAATCTTTAGGGTTGATTTTCCTATACTCACCAAAAGACTCATGATCTAGACACGGTAATTCTGATCAACTTGCTTATAGGGCAAAATTAAAGTTAGCTGTGTATAAGTTAGTACGAATATAAAAAAGACAATTGTATTTTTACAATTATGAAACAAAATTTAAACCTTAATAATAAACTTATTGCGTTGGTTGATTATTCAATATACTTGTAATTTCGTCAATGTAGCTAATAAAAAAATTGTAATGATTTCTTGCGAAAAATAAATATTTCGAAAAAATTTTAGTTAAGTAAAGTTAACAAGAATTCAGAACCAGCCAGATCAAAATCGTCTCAAAAGCTCATTTATAAAAGAAAGATGTTTAATATTTAACAAAAAAACAATTTACCATGTGATAATAACACTTCTAATAACCAATTAAATTTAATAACGAATCTGACCCGAACCCGAACCTGACCCATTCGGAACACTAATAGCAGGTACACTTACCATCCTTTTCCAATTATCTAGTTATAGGAGGTATATTAGCTTGTGTTATTTTTGATTTCCTGCATTTTTATTCATCCTAATTTAGTATAATATAGATGATAATAAATTGTTTCTGGCTAAATATGATATTTAATTAACTTTTCTCTTCGTTACACCTCGAAGGGTCAGTTTTTAACCAAAACTTTATATCAATAAGGAGGTAGATAATAATAAGAAACAAAATTAAAAGTCGAGGGGGTAATAAAGTATCCAATCTTACAGTTATTACTAGAAAATGAGTGGCAATTGGTGAATCTGTTGCTATTAAGTGGCAATACTCGTGTAACAATTCTCAAGATTTTTCTAAAAAGATGGGATTTAGGTGAGGTGTTTGATTTGGCCAAGGTATGTATTTTTCTTTAATTAATTTGTAGTCACCACTTGTTACACTCCTTATTAATAATTAACCACTAAAATTTTTATACATTTTAGAATAGAAACTTAAGAATAAATTAGAACATTACGAATGTAAGGGACATTCCAATATTTCAGCTCTATTACATAATCTAACGCTTATTACATTCCATTAGATTATTTCTCGTCTCGTGATTCCAGGGCCGATCGTCGATCACATGGCCCAAATCGCGTTACTCACGATTAATTTTCTTACACTACATAAGATAATGTTACATCAATTGTTATTCTGCGAACTTTGTATGACATACTCTATACAAAATTTGACTAATTGCAGTTGTAACTTTGTGCAATAAACGCAGACTAAATATTCGGCTTATTCAATTTCACATTTTGAATTGTAAATACTTTCAAATGTCTCTATCAGAAAATTTTCAATCAAAAAATGCCTGGGTTAAAAGGCTCGAAAACTCTATAAACGAACTAGCATTAATGAAATTCGAATATAGCGACTTCGAGAATATTGAAACCGTAGGAAGGGATAGCTTTGGAAAAATATATAAAGCCTTTTTGAAGACTAACAAAAAAATAGTCACAATTAAAAAAGTTTTAGTTTTTAATGAAAATTCAGCGAATATATTTCTAAACAAAGTATTTATTTGATTATATATGAAATCGTAATTACAGTACATGATAAATAATAACTAACTCATAATATTTGCGCAGCTTAAATTGCATCAAAATGTTAGGTTTCATAATAATATCTCACGACTTTATGGAATTTATAAGAAAGGTACGTGTGTTATGATTAAGTGCGTACGGTTACAGTATTAAGAAACCGCAAGTAATATAAGCAATATATAGATCCGCAAAAAACCGAATATCTTATAGTTATTGAATATTCCGATGGAACTCTGCGGCAATACCTTGAAGAGAACTTTCAACTATTAAATTGGAATAACAAATTACGCATGGCCAAACAAATTACAAGTGCGATTTTATATTTACATGAGAAAGGCCTTATTCATAGTGACTTGGTTGGTGTTAATTCAGATTTCATATTTTTATAATAAGAGCATTTTAAATCAATCTATTCGCTTTATTTCAGTATCCAGAAAATATTTTAATCCAAGACGGAAACATAAAACTTTCTAGTTTTTGGCTATCTAAAAAATTAATGGATACATCTAACATTCAAATCGCTAATGCACCTATCGGAGTTATACCATATATTGATCCACAATGTTTTAAGAAAACAAACGAAAAGCCTTATTATAAAAGAACTAAGAAGTCTGACATTTACAGTTTAGGCGTTTTACTCTGGGAGTTGACAAGTGGATACCCACCTTTTAGTTCGAATGGATATAATATTGCGTTAGTGCATCAAATTTCGGAGGGTCTTAGAGAAACTAGCATGATAAGAACGCCTCAAGAATACATCGATATTTACAAAGGTTAGATTACAATGAAACAAACTTTCTCTTTGTATTTCGTTAATTATACATTCTTATTTAAATGGCTAATATTCAACTGTATTAGCCTGTTGGAACGAAAATCCGGACAAGAGACCCGAAATTCTTCAAGTTAAAAAATTACTCGACTCATTATATATTTCAAAAACTTCAGAGGAACTTGAATTTTATGAAGTCAAATACAACACATTATAT